TACGATTAAAACATTATGATAATAAATATTTTTTTAAATTGTATTATTTCCATTTCTCTGTTAAAATACTCAATTTAAAAAATAAAATATAATTTCATTGTTATCATATATTAATTCTTTAATCAACAATAACAGACTAATTTCTTTATATACACTAAATATAACTCAATCAAAATTTTCACAATTTATAAATATAAACTTTCACAAATTAAAAATATATACCTTGATATAAGTATCCTTTTAATCCAGATTAAACTTTTCAGATTAAACTCTCGTAAAAGAATTTTCAATCCCAATCAATCGGCAAATCTGCTATTAATTTATACTTTATTTTGATTCCAATTCATCAGAAAATTACTTAAAATCAAAAATTTGAAAATTAAAAAGTTTGCACAATAATAATAAAAAATTATTAATTCATCCACCGACGAAAACCCGCCAATAATTCACCTCCTCAACAGAATTCCATGCCTAAATCGAAAAACGGATCTCGAACATCTGCGCTCGTGCATTAGGAATCCGGTCGTGGACGTGTAATCTTACAGACCACGGTTAACGCTTCCCTGTCGCTTCTAATTCATGACTCGGGCGCGAGTCAGTCGAGCAGCACGGCCCACGATAAACCCGCTCGTTTCCTGCTCGGTTGTACGACGCTGGCCAGCCAGCGACAATGCCATGTAAGTCGAGCCAGCTCGTCGAATCGTCCCGCTGTGGACCCGGTTTAATTACCTGGTGATGCACGACTACCAGACGAACCATGTCGTAATTCGCCTTAACAGCCGTTGTTGTTTACGCAAAACTCGTGTGATCGACCTGCCCAGAATACCTGGAAACACGCTTTCCTCCGTCTAGAGAGTCTCGCCATTTCGATCCGCACCAGTCCGCCGTTATTTCACGCGGCCCTCTTGCGCCAGGAATCGGGCCACTCTCGTCCGGGATAAGACTGCGAGGGGCTGGTTTTATATTGTTTGTTCGGGCATGGAGCGCGATAATGGCATCTAGTTCTTTTTTCGCCAGACGAGGGATATTTGCATTTTTGGGCGGGAACGTTATATTATAGTCTCAAACGTTCTTTCAGAGAATTTTCTGCTAGCGAAACGCTAAATATATTCCAATTTGTAAAATATTTTTGCGAAGAAAATTATTTTCTTTTTTTTTAGAAAAAATAGAATGTTTATACATTTGCAGACCAAATATTTTTTTTTAATATAATGAATGTCAAATGTTTGTTCAAACATGTTTCGATTATTTCGATTAGACAAAATCCTCTTATGACAAGAAAATATTTTTATTTATTAGGAAATTGTTTTGATATGCTGTTAAAAAAGTCACATTACAAATAACGAATACTAGTTTGTTCAAATAATTTTCAATGCCAGAGAAGAAACAATAGTATATTGAAAATATAAAATATTTAAACAAATCTAGTATAAATAGGTAACCATATTTAATCATAATTATATTCATTTGGAGAAAATTTGTCTTTACTATTTACCAAACGAGTAACATTAACCAATATCGATCTTTGTTTCACATTTATCCTTTTGTAAAATTAAATGCTTTATAAAAAAAGAAAAAAATCATTGCATTACACGATTTGATAAATAATATCTATTTCAATATCTATCTACTCGAATAATATTCTACAAGCAAATAAATAAAACAAAACAACTACGATGATTTAGGTGGATGTATCGATGATTGAAAGCGATGCGACTTACCCGAAAATAAAATAAAATTACGGTAGGGGTAGGGTTCAGGGTTGAAGGGATAAGGTAAAAACATCAAATAAGAAAAAAAACCAAAGATTAATCTTATGATAGTATAGCTTTATTTTAGACTAGAACGGAAAAATAATATAATATTAATAATATAAAATAATAATAATTAATAATAATAATAATAATAATAATAATAATAATAATAATAATAAACTATATACACAAGAATAGTAGGGACCGACATACATATAAAATTGTTGTCTATATGTGTAAACTATACGCATTCAAGTATCTGTGTTCATGTCATGTCGAGTATGCACAAGTGTTTCTGTTGTATTAAAGTATTTTTCTATGTAGATTCGTGCATAATGTAGATATGTGCGTTTGTGTGTATTAGTGTGCGTGTGTCGGCAAAGAAAAAAAGCGAGAAATTGAGCCACACCCTCGCCGGCTACAAAAACGATCTTTTGAACGCATACATTAATTTTTCCTAACATATATATGCACAAATATACAAATTACCCTACCGTAAATAAAGCTCATTTGTCGCAAATTTTTGAAAACGAAAATCTCAATACAATTATTTGTTTAATCATTAATTACGTAGTTCTTTATCCGTATCACATGGTATTAAATTTTACCTGATACATTTTATCTTAATATTATTTTCTTTAAAAACTAAATTTAAAAAAAGTTAAATTTGTATCACACTCGATCATAGCGTCTATAATAATTTAAATTGAATCATGAAACTTTGAAAGTAAGAAACATTTCGTCTCAATTCGTATTCCATATTTTATTTTATATCACAAAATGCAGAATACAAACTAAATGAAATTCAAATTCAAAATAAATAAAAAAAACGTAATAACGGTTGTTTAATAGTAATCCAAACGGATTATTTTTGATTGATCAAAAATTATTATTAATTTTTTTTTTTTATCTCTCGTTTTTTTATCGACGTCGAGCACAAATTTTATAAAAAAATTTTCTGCAATGTTAGAAATTTCTTTACGATTCTGTATAATGACACAGAACAAGGGATCCCTAATGATAATTTAAAATGGCTAGATCCAGCATAAATTTCACGTTTTTCGCGTTTCAATGTTTTCGAAATCAAATTGCGACATTTGAGAGTGAAAAATACGATTGTAAAATTGTAAAGTAAAAAAATAAAAAAAAAAATTTAATGAACGAAAGAAAAAGAAAAAAAGAGTATATATCGGGTATCCAAGTTGTTCAAGGTCAGAATACAATCGAGTCGATTCGTTTGCGTGGGCAGACGAGAGTGTGACTATCACAAAACGATAAAAAAGAAAGAGAGACAATTTGGGGTTTAAAGAAGACTCATAAATAACTAACGCATAAAACAATAATAATAATAATTAATAATTAATAATAATAATAATAATAATAATAATAATAATAATAATAATTAGTAATAATAGTAGCCCTGATTAAAATCGATGTCGTCGTAAAAATGGCAAAATAGGATATTATCGCGCGTCGTTGTAAAGGAAGAAAAGAGTAAGGCAAACAAAATTGTGCTATGTGGTGACAAAGAAACAGGTTCGACTGGATATTGACGCGTGCCTATGGATATATGTGCGAAATGATGATTCAGAATGGATTTCGTAGATGGATGGGTTCGAATACGATAAAGAGCGGAAAGACGACACGAATTTAATTAATATGGAATAGAATTTAATTTATGAGATTTCTTTGTTTTCTTTTATCAACTAAGATTTTTTTTTAAAGAAATTTTTCGTTCAAAATAATGCTTGTATAAGAGCATTAATTGAAATTTATAAAAAAAAAAAAAAACAAAGTTTTGTTGATTCAATTCAAAATTATATTTGAAAATTGATAATACACAATCGTGTAATATACATAATTTTCAAATAATTTTTAATATTACAAAGAAGAATTAAAAAATAATAATAATAAAAATAATAATAAAAAAAAAGTAAGCAATAAAGCTTATTTCATTAGGTAAACAAGGTATATATAAAAAATATATTGGCAACTTCAATGATTCCAACTTTATAATAAATCGATCGATAAACTCTAATATACCGAAGAATAAAAATATCGTGTTCGACGAAAACAAAAATTTAAACTCTTCAAAATATAAAACAATTTATAATAATTATCAACATCTTTCAAAGAACAAAATTCTCGAAAAAAAAAGAAAAAAAACGAAGAATCATCAAACCTCTCGTTATTTCATTCTTAGAAATATCGAAATCCACTCTGCATCACTATGCGTATCAACATATTACAACCACGTGCATTATTAACGAAGTATATGAAACGCGTGTACGTCGTTCGTCACACAGAAAGAAAGAGAAAGAGAGAGGGAGAAAGAGAGAGAGAGAGAGAATACAAGAATCGTCTCTCTTGCGGTCGTTACAATTCGTGGAGGCCAGAATCGGGACCGTTCGAGATAAAGGGTCCCTGTCCGGGCCTCGGATAACGGCTCAGGGGCTTAGCGAAGTTGTATTTACAGTGAATGCTCGAGGGCGCAATAAGTAGGAGTGCACTGTAAAATGACACGGTGTTGGAATGGCTTCGCGGTTTGTGCATAATGACGACGACAACAACGACGACGACGACGACGACGACGACGACGACGAGGAGGACGACGACGATAAGTATGACGCAGTATGTCGAAGAACAAGAAGGGGCGAGACGAGAGAGGGTGGCGAAGATAAGGGAGGAAACGATATTTCGCTACGCTATGTAGGAATTAAAGGAAAAAAGGCAATGTAATTCTCCGTTCTTTCTGGCTATACTATAATGAATCAAACGCTTCGAGCTTAATAAACGAAATGGATAGTTAACTAAAATCCATTATAAAATATAATAATAATAATAATAATAATAATAATAATAATAATAATAATAATAATAATAATGATCCGTAAATAATTTGCAAATATAGTCTTTAACTGTACAGCAACTTATAATAATCAAGACGCAAAATGTATAATGTGTTTATTTTTTTTTCTTTTCTTCTCTTTTCATTTCTCCTTTCGTTTATCTATATTATCCGGCGGCGATGATCGATTAGATTGAAAATGTTATTAATGCTTGATATCTCTCACGCATCATGGGCCACACTTTTCTTTCCTACGCTTGCTTCCTTTTTCTTTCCTTCTTTTTTTCCTCCTTTCTTTTTATGCAGCTCACTCTCGCACACGCACGCACATGCACACACACACACACACACACACACACACACACA